TAGTAGTAGTAGTAGTAGTAGTAGTAGTAGTAGTAGTAGTAGTAGTAAGTAGTAGTAGTAGCAGTAGCAGTAGCAGTAGCAGTAGTAGTAGTAGTCGTCGTGGTAGTGGTAGTCGTAGTAGTAGTAGTAGCTACTAGCAGTCGCAGTCGCAGTCGCAGTAGCAGTAGCAGTAGCAGTAGTAGTAGTAGTAGTAGGAGTAGGAGTAGGTGTAGTAGTAGTCAGTGTAGTAGTAGTCATTTTCGTAGGGCAAAAACTTTTCCATTATTCCAACCCCCTAAACAACTCTTATTATTCACTTCCCTGGGCTCATGTACTACCCTCTTGAAAAATTGTTTGGAGCAATGAAATCGTTGAGAATTAAGCGTTTTCGAAAACGATTTCCAGGTCAGAATTCCATGAACCAAGCAAACCTCAGGAGAGTTCAGTAAGGTTTTAGAAGAGAGCAATAGCAGAACAATCGAAAAGTAAACAAAACCCAAAAAACACCCTGGGCCAAATATGTGTGTATTTGTTTGTTTTTTTTGACATATTGTGTCAATTGGTCAGGCTTTCCTGCTGGATGCAATTGTCGTACAGCCATTTTTGGCAGTGCAGTTTTCTTGACAAATGTTGACTCAAAAGAACACACATTTGCAAGACAACTGCACTGCCAGGAGTGCCCGGTGTGGGAATCATTGGGCGAACACGAGGTATCCCGCAGTCCGTGCCCACACCATTTAGCACGAGAGCACGAGACCAATGGAGGCAACAGCACTCTTGTGGCGTCGCTTGAGTGCCTAGCTGTGGCCAGAGGTTGTGCCTTTCTCTCGCAGAGTTTCAGCATAAATTGACCAGGTTTTTGTATCATTACATTACAGACTGTACTTTGTTTAGTATCTATGCAAGGTTTTGTTTGGACTAGGGGAGGGGGTATGTTGTCCAATGGACCTCTGCACAGACCATATCAAATCGACTGATTAGTTGTTACACCTGCCACACATGTCTCTGGGCAATCTGATGCACTCACTCTATACATTTCACCCACCAGGAACTGTGGCGTTCGTTTTTGCATCCCCGAAACTCCCCCTCTTAGTGCATGGCGGGTCGAGTGATCCTGTTTGTAGCGAGCTCAAAGCATATGGACGCAGAGCTATGTACGAGCGATTACGAGGATAGGCAAGCACTCAAAGATTTGGACCTGCTGCGGGTTTGGAATGGCACGTTTGTGCCCACTTGGTGAGTGATTCGAACTCTACCACCTTGGCATCAGATGGCACAGCACTTGGAGTTGTAGGCTCCAGATGCCCCCATGCGACCATGCGTGGGGAAGATGTTGCCTCGTGACTCTGGGGTGATACCCCAGTCGCAGAAGTGGCCATTCGTGAGGATTGGAGCGGCACCTGAGTTCTCAAGGATGAGATTTTTCGGTGGCCATGGCACCCGGAGCCGTAAAGGCCCCAAACTACTTTGATAGGTTACCCTGTAGGTGGTCTAGTCCATTCTTAAGCAAAACGGACCGGTTTGGACCTACCATTCTTATTGGGGTATGGAGTGACAGAAATCGGACCTGAGCATCCTAGGAATCCAATCGGAGCTAAGAACCCACCGGCCTGTGGGTATTCTTCAGTCGTTGGCCGAACTTCGGTGAAGCCAAGGGATGGAATTCTAACCAAGCCCCGAAACCCAAAGGAACTGAATGCTGCTGGAGGTTTCTTCTGTGATGTTCAGTGAAGTCATGCTGTGGCCATAATGCCATAGTGTTTCAAATGGTAGTAGCTTAATAGAAGCGATGTTCTCAGATGATTCTCCCCTGTACTGCATCATTTGGCGCTGTTTAAGCTTCGCTTGAAGTCACAGACGACAGAGAAGACGTCCTGAAGAACGGACTGACGATTCAGCTCGGACAGGGCCGAAAGCGGATGAAGCCTTTGCGGAAAGAAAGACACATGAAGCCTGCACTTCACATCCTTTATCAATGCGGATCATTGCCATCGCAACCCGGCCTCAACTCACAAGTAGAAATCAGGAAGTCGTTCGGTTTCCCACAAGCCCAGATGTTGGGTGAATCCGTTTATTGATCAGTTTGCTCCACCCTCGAGTTTGATCACTGTAGGACTGAGTCTTGGATGATCAGCAAGTGGCTCATCCTGAGAAGTCGCCAGTGAAATCGCCATCATGAATCGATCCAACACAGGGACGCAGGGAAACAGCTGTTCCCTGTTGCCATGGATCATCCAAGTCGTTCTCCCATTCTAACTAGGGAGGTCTCGTGGGCTGTTTTGGCCTGCAAAAGATGTCCGTGTCGCTGCGGATGGCTTTCCCCCCAATCCGGATCCAGGCCTGGTCTTCGTGTGGAGCCCCTGGGGAGACCCAGGGCTCCACGGTCTCTAGTGGTCGGACAGTGGGGAAACAGAGGCACCTCCGACCGGAGAGGTCGCAGTTCTCACCGGTTTCACACAAGACAGACAAGGGACAGACCAAGTTGGACAAGACAGACAAGGGAAACTGATTCTGTGTGGTCACTGGGTAAACGCTGACATCTTTCAATGGGGGCCTTGCATTGCTTTGATGTTCTTTGTTGGATTGACTGTTTGTCAGATTGATTTCCTTCAATCTATGCATGTCTATGCTTGATGCGGGTATATATCCACAAGGAGTTTAGTATGTTTATATGTTGGGAAACTTGCAGACAGTGCAGACTTTGATCGCACATGTACCCAAGGTGGGTTTCTGAAAACTTGGATTCTGTTAGTGTGTGTGTGTGTGTCTGTTTGTTGGTGTCCCCTACATCAGAGGATGCAAAGGCAAGAGCTCTAGGTGTCAAGAGCTCTGTGTGTCGCGCGTCAGTCAAATGCGCTCAGCGCGCTCCTGTCACCATGGACATCGCTGAAGTACACTCCCTGAATTCATTCATCATGGAAGAGGATAGCACGCGAAATCGGAGGTACCTTTTAGGGAGTGTACCAGCGATGTTCATTTTGAGGAGTCCGAGTCGCAGCCCATGTGGTGGGTCCTTGCCCCACCGGGTCCGTCCAAAATCGGGTGCAGCGTGCACGAGTTGCACTGCTTGATGATGGCTTCAGTGAAGAAATACGCTCTACCCAAGGAAAGTCTTGAAGTCTCACAAAGGTGTCGGAACTTGTCCAGGGTACCTTCGAATCCTTGAAAATCTCTATGCAAAACCCCCCTAACATCCGACTCTCACAAGACAAAACATCTCAAGGTCCCAACGTTCCAGTGTTTGAGGAAGTCTGAGATCACCAAGTCGACTCAGGTTCCGATCCCCAAAACGATTCTCATCCTCAATCCTCGTCTTTTCGGCCAGCACATGTGCCGTGGAACTCATGGAACTCGCTTCGTCTGACGGGTCATGCGCTGGACGGTCGGGTCCCTCGGTGTCCTCTGGGCTGCTTGGGTCACTGCAGAGACGCCCAGCGAAGCGACGGAGCAGAGGCGCCTGCAGATCTTCGACCCTTTCGTAACATCCACTTTTCCAGTAGGTACTGGCAACTTGGGCAGTTTCGTTACCATTCTTTTGTGGTTCTGGCTGGGTGAAGAAATAATGTAAGGATTCTGAATCTTGTCCCATGTGGTCCCTTGCAAGTGAGGCATCACTGTGCATTTATCAGGCAGTAAAACAGCTTCTGGAGTTGACAGTGGACAGCTGGACCTGCTGGTGGGTGAAGTCCTTTTTGGACTCTCTTTGGATCTGCCCCTGGGCTACTACTTCAACGTTCATCAAGCGCGTGTGCGCAGCTCGACGTGAACCATGTAAAAGATTTTGAAAGATTGATTCTTTTGATTTGGACGCTTTTGAGAAACCTGTTGAATAGACAGATGATCCTCCCAAGACGGATGAATTGAAATGCAAGTTCTTCTTGTTTTTGTACTCTGAGGGTGAAAAAAAAACGTGTGCGATGCAGCAAAGCGCAGGCATTGTTTTTGCTTATCTCACCCAAAACGAAGCGAGAAGTGGTGAATGTGCTCCCGATCAACTCGGGCCTGTGCCTTGGCAGCATCATTCCTGGGAGTTTGGGCAGTTGCTAAGGCCCAGCGGTATCCAGCGGTAACACGAATCCAGAGAACCTCCTTTTATAATGCAAGGCTCAGGAAGACCAGCTCCTACAGTATAGGGTTTTTTGAGTAGCTCGATGTCGAAAGAGTAAGACCGAAAAATCATCGGACTTCATCGGAGATCGTCACCGACATGGTTGAGACACACTGAAAAACTTATGACTTCGAAGCGTCTCAGCAGTGAACTTTGGTCATTTTGCTTCGATCGGCACTCCTTTACTTGGGTCTGGAAGTGAAGTCTGTACAGCAATACGACAGGGCTGATGGACTTGTCGTCCTGCACCACCCCACCAGGATCCCGAGGGAAGGGTCATGTAGCAACCCCTGCGCCCCTCATTCAATGTTGGCGTGATTGTTCTGCAGGATTTCGGACACTCAACTTGTTTGCTTTTTCACTGTGAGGTCCCAATGTAAAACTTATGAAGGAGAACGAGGGTGGCAAGAAAATGGTTCAGAAAAATCAGTGGGGGAATTTTCATCCATCACGAATACCACCTTGGGGAGGTCCAGCATTTGATCGCTGCTTCTCTCGGGGTCACCGGGCTGGACAAGCCTGCACTTCTAGGTCTCGATTGGACACAAGAAAAAGGGGTCCAGCATCGATTGGTTACGAATACCACCCTGGACCCTGCACTTCTAGGTCTCCATGTTTTTGCCGGTCCGCTATTTTTTTCCCGCTGTTTTCGACACTGATCGACCGGCTGCTGAACGGGTCGAAAACAGCTCCGCCCAGGTGAGTGACCAAGTGGTCCAAGCTCCGCTCTCTTCGCGATATGGGGCCCCGGCAGAGCAAGGGCTCGGGACCTCCAGCTTGCAGGCGGGAAACCACTCAGGTGGATCCAGGACAGAAAGGACTCAACAGCAGTTGGAGTTACTGTTACTGTAGCTGGGAGCCAGTGGTTGTGGAAAAAGATCCGGTCAACTTGGATTCACTGGGCTTTGGGAAGACCAAGATTCAAGTTGATTGCTTGCACTTTGCCGGGCCCGAGCCTCAGATGTGGGACGCACCTTGTCGACGATGAAAAAAGGAGTTGGGCCCGTGGAGAGCACCAAAGGCAGCACTTGTCCTCCTTGAATAGAAAAGGATGTGAAGCTTGTCCCTGACCAAGTTAAGTCAGTATGTCCTCCATGCCGGTAGAGGAATGCAAATCCATTTGTGCGTGGCCATGCTCCAGTGATCCAAAAGCAGCACTAGTGGATTGAAAAAAGGTTCAGGACTATTTGCGACTTCGATATAATTAATCATACAAATGAGATCAAATGAGTTTAATGAGTCAGGGAACAACATTTCGGGCTAGAACTCATGCAAGAGCCTGGTCTTTGGGCGCCTGAACAGGTAATGCTCTCGGGCGGTGCGACCTTCGTCCAAGACGGGGACTATCGCTTGTGTTTCAGCCACTTGACTGACTCTACCGAGCATGAATCCAGAGGAGATCTGGCAAAACTCAGGTTGCATCAGGCTTTGAACACCTGCAGAGGCGTGCTCGCCTCGTCCTGCTGCATTTGTATTGGGTGAGTCCAAGAAACTAAGTCCCTAACTAGAGTAGAAGGCAACGAGGCAGGCTGGCCCAGAAGAGATACGCGCAGCATGGCCAGGGCTTTTACTGTTTTCTTTCTGACTATATATACATTGACTACACCCTCTGACTGGTATGCGCTTTGAGACTGAACTCTCAGGGCTTTCTTTCTCTTTCTCTTTGACCTGGTGCCATGATCGTTTAAGACTCGATTGTTTCATTCCCGTCGAGGCCTGCAGTAGCTCTTCTTCACTTTCTCATTGCGTTCGCACTGCTTCCTGGAATTTCTCGCTGCCGCTGCACGACGGACTAAGGTGACGACGGTTCTTTTGCTTCTGGCCATGCAGAGTCTGATCTGAAAAGCGCACCGCATCGTTCGCGTCGGGGTAGCGCGGGCGAATGGGTCGTCGATGCAGTCGATGTAGTTGGCTTCGGCCCTCAGGTCATCAGACCTAAGACGGCAGTATTATGGCCTTGTTTATGGCCTGGCCTAGATCAATAGAGGGGATGCCTTGAAGTGAAGAACCAATAGGTATATGGTCCCACATCGGCCCCTCTATTATTCCAAAAAGGACATCAGTGGAGTTTATGGCCAGTTGTTCCAGATTGCTTTGCACATCTCTGAACTCGAGACCCGTCGGTTGGTATGGAGATTGTTCCAAATTCAGGGACCAACTCCCTCAAAAGACCGACTGTTGATTCAAAAACACCATATTGATCCATATTGGATTGTAATGCCTCTTCGTATGCGGAGGCTTTATTACTCAACTATATACATTGGAAATCATTGGAATGTTCGGAGAAGTCACTGAAGGAAGCTCGTTGAACTGCGCGTTGGATGGTTTTTTGTGTCGAGCCAGCCCTATGATTGTTTGGGGTCCCTTGGCTTCGAGAAGGGCCTCGCTCCCTGCGCTGAGAGCCGCACGCGCCCGCGAACGAGGATTTGCTGAACGTGCTCATCCGAGTCCAGGCCTATGTGACGAGTCGCCTCCCTGCGGGGAGTGGCTTGACGGTGTTCTTCGAGAACGGCCAGATGCAGAGTGCAGAGGATGGGGAGAGCATCATATTGAGTGGCTGGGAAGATGCGAGACGTATGGGTGTTGGGGTGATGTGGTGAACATCCAGCACCATCATGGATCATCATGTAAGATTGCAGTTGACATCCACAGGTAGACGAGTTTATAAGGGTCCTAATTTAAGATATTTACTGTATATTTATAGATATGGAGAACATCCTCAGAACAGACTTGTGTTCAACTTGTTCTTGGTGTTCGGTATTGTCCCTCGGCTCCACGGTTTGAAGGCTACCACGCTTTAGAGGAACTTTATATGAATTTATGTAACTTTATATGCATATGGACCAACTACAACTGGAAAGACTTGCATCACTGGCATCAGGCCCTCCTCTTCCCCTCGTCCTTCTTGGTCTTCAATGATCCAAGGTGCCGGGCAGCCGATCACGGGCATCTCCCTCCATTTGCCGCTCTTGTCCATCTTTGATGCCTCGAGCTTACGCTTGAAAGCCATCAACGCCTCCGTCACCAGGGACGAAGCCGTCGACGGCGCCTGTGCGGCGGGCAGTGCGTGGGAACTGCCGACCGAAGTGGTGGACGTCCCGCTGTCGGCCTCCTTGGGAGTCGAGACCTTGCACTCCCAGGCGGCCGAAGGGGGAAGAGAGCGACAGGTTGGGGAGCTGACGTGGGGCTGGTGATAAGTGGAAGAAGAGTGATGCCACTGAGATGGTCAACATTATGGAAAAAGTAGCTCCTACATGCTCCTACCTTGAAGAACATCTTCTGGCTGGGAGAGGAAGTCTTCATTTTCCTATCCCTTTCTTAAGATATCCATATTTCCACAGGAAAGATGGTGGCTTTCCAAGTAAACATTTGGAGTGATTTGAGTGAGCGCTCTTTCTTAAAGCCTTACCGGTTCCAGCTCTCAGTTCTCACCGACCCAGCTCTTCTCTTTGACCCAAAACACCCACCTCTCCGGCGCCCCCAGGGCACGCGCTTCGCGAACACCTCCTTGTCGGTGCCCATCCACTTTAACTCAGCGGGGCAAGCCAGGCTTTGCTACTCCGATGACGGGAGTCTCGGAGGGACCAAAACACGTCCGAGATAGACATGGTTCACAAAATCTACACACGGAAGTTGGGCCCAAAACAAACGGGGTGTTTTCACACCTATATGATGGAATGTGTTTGTTTGCAGGATTCCAGCATGTTCCACCCGAAAAAAAAAAAAACCTCAGTTGCTTCCAAGATCCCCAAAACACATCAGGTGCTTCGAGTGGAAGAATGCACAATAACCATGACCACATGTTGTGCAAAAAGTGCCGATTTGGTGTGCAAGGCAGATTGGAGAAACATTTTGTAGAATGGGAAGATGTACCGAGATATTTGATCGCCCTGCATGAGTGGCTCACAGTAAGAACTTTCTGAATTCGATGGCGGCCTTTAGCGCAGCTCCTTTTGAGAAGACACATTTGGCTAGAGGTATCATGGTGAGTCAATGCATGTTCGCCCTTACTACAGTATCCCTCGCTCGTAGCATCATCAGTGATGCTCAGGGAGTTGTATTGTAAAGCCATGACCGGCGAATAGGACACTCTCGGCAGGATCCATTGTGAAGAGGGTTGACATAATTTCGGTGTATAGTTATCATTACACCGACCTACATCCCATTGTTTTGCTCGTATGACAATTTTTGTTTTGACCCAGCGAGAGTATGAACCCTCATGGGTCGCCAAACAACCGAAATGTGTTTCGCACCGGTGGTTTAGCCTCCCCATTTGGCGTGATGGGCAAGGCTCCTCTTTTAAGCTAAGTTGAGGGAGGCATCTTAACAGCTAATTAACAAGTACAACTCCATGATTGTTTTGATCTTAACAAGCACACATCCATCGACTTTGAGCCAACCTAGATGCTTCAACGGCGATGCTTCAAACGCCCCGGAAGCGCACTGCGAACGCGGCCGTTCCGAACGGCGAACGGAACGGGCTCAGGAGCTTCTCGACGAACCACGTGGACCTCATCAGCGTCTTGATCACCGCGGAGGGGATCTTCAGCTCTTGCGAGGCGAGCCCCTTCGTAGCTCCGTAGTGGATCCCCCCTGATATCTCGGTTTTGGATCCAGCAAGCAAGCCTGAAGGATCATCATTTGGAAAGCCTGAAAGCGAGCTGGGTGCATAGATATTTATACATGATTTCCAGATGATGCAGAAGGTCTTCCATCAGCATCATGAACAGCTTTGGGTGCGTGTAGAGTCAGGTGTGCAGTTGGAATTAGCATCCTGCAAGTCCTCATGCGTTGTTGAGAGGACCAACTCTCAGTTGAATCCGTCCCTCCGTCATTGACGGCACGTAGGTGCACAGCGTCAAAGAGGTTCGGTTCGTTGCTTCGTTGGTTCTTTCGAGTCCGGGCGCTGCGCGGCGCGCGCGTTTGGCGCTGCTGGGACGACTCGTGCTGCGCCAGGTGGCAGGATGCCAAGCTGCACGGACCTTCCGCTGCTATGCGCTGCTGGGCATCTCTGCTGAGGTGGGCAGCTGCGTGTTGCCCATCGAGGGGGTCGGCTATAGCTCCAGTGGCTATGTCTCCTGGTCGGCTCAGGCACCGGGAGGGGAGAGTGAGGCGGGCAGTGAAGATCGGACACTCGCAGGTCCGGAAGTGCTACGCGCCATCCATAGCCAGTTCGACTGGGCCCCCGGTTTGTTTTCATGAAAAGCCGTTTGTTCTCCCGGTTTCACCGACAAAATCGGTGGGAGGATGTCTTTACATTCCTTTACGAAGTGTTCAACTGGGCCCTTGAGTTCATTTTCTCCTTCTGGTTGCTCAACGCCAACCGCTTTGCCGGTGAAACAGCATCGGTGTCCAGTACGACACTGCGGCAGGTGGATGCGCTCTACAGTGGGAATGGTGAGCCATTGCCCTTTGACGTGCCGCGTTGTGGACAATTCCCAGCCGAGCCTTGAAATGACAGGTGTCTTTTTGGGGGGGATTTCCCAAGGGGTGTTTTCATGATGTTTGAAAAAGGGGGTATCATGGATCCGTCCACTGAGCCTCAAAACTGCAACACCATTATCTGTGGAGCTTTTGGACGTGTGATTGGCTCCAGGCAACGGCAATTCACGGCAATTCATGGACACGAAGTCTCATGAGTTTGCGATTGCTTTTCATGGACACGAAGTCTCATGAGCTCTTCCTGTTTGGAGACACAACCATCCCGTGTAGTGACCACCACTGGTTGAAAGATGTTGAAAGAACGCACCACTGATGCTCAACACATCGTATTGCACGGATCTTTTCCCTTTCCAGCAGTATTTCTTCCTCCAACAGTACCTAGAGTCCCAAAGTACTTCAGAAAATGGGTACAAGTACCTGTTTAGCTGTTTTTATATAGGGTCATGTCCCATTTTCCAAGGTACTTTGGAGGGTCCAGGTAGTTCCTTCTTGGCATCCAATGGTCCTCCCTCAAGTGGCCGAAAGCGAAGCGAAAAGCCGAGGACGTGGCATCTAAGAGTGAAGTGCATCGACTGGGTGTGGTCTCCAGTGTACGATCTTCTTTGAGAAGTCGGTGTTGCAAAACACAACCTTTCCACCCCCCCAACATAATTTCCTTCAGAGTTCCAGGAACGTCCAGTCGGATGCTGGGGGGGAAATCAGGCGTCTGGACTGGACTTGACCCGTGTCGCCGGTTTCTCGTGACTCCCAGGATCCTGGCGCCTTCTGTGTGGGCGACTGTGCAGGTGCCGAATCAAAGCGGTTAGCTGTGCGTGTAAAACGACCAGCAGTACATAGCAGTATGCGGGCTACTTTGGGACGTGGCCAAGGCATGCCAAGGCTGTTGTCATCTTGGGTTCCGGTTTAATTTAGGAAGTACAACTTCGGTTTGAGCCCGATGATGCCATGACCGGGGTATGGCGGCCAGCTTCACTCCAGACCCCATCCAGTGGATCGAATTGATTTCAGGGCCATCCAAATGTTTGTCCCAAGAACCCCACGAAACTCCAGACCTTGTGCAACGCTTCGCTGATCGGAACCGAACAGCCCGAGGCAATCGTTCCTTTCCGCTGAGCTCCTCCAACAGCGTGACCATGCCGCCCAGCGGTCCGCTCACCGCGTCGCGAGACGCCCGCACCACGGCGGTGTGCTACTGCACGGACGTGGTGGGATGCCACTCCGGCGAAGAAAGGGGCGTGGCGGTGTCAACAGCTGGTACCCCAAAGACCACAGGCAACAAAAAGAACTACAGTACTGTAATGTACTGTATATACTTTCGTCTTGCTGTGTTCTTCCCGTCAGATGACCGACCTTCGATGTGCATGTCTTCTCACCGGGGCAGTGCCATGTTGGGGCAGTGCCAAGTTCGAAGCGTCCTTGCAGAAGGCCACAGAACCACCAGGGGCTTCCTGTTTGGCCCTGCGGGGGTCCTCCAAGGCGATCTTCCAACAGGGCAAAGCAACTTCTTCCAAGCGATTGGCCTCTTGGTGAGAATGATTGGGAAGTCCCATGATGAAGGATCTCGCTTCGCGATTGAGGCTCTGATTCGTCTTTCTGAGGGGTCGATGATTTGGGAGGGAGTTTGACAAGACAGCTTGGTTCTCCCATTCTTGTAGATCACGATTGTCTTGAAAAGGTATGAATGGGTGTCTATTGATCCTGCCTCAATGGACGTCCGACCCTGACAGATTCCATTTGGACTCTTCGGCTGAGGTCTTGTTCAACTGTTTACCGCTTCCGTGATGCCCATTGGAGAGTTTGCCTGCACGACCTCTTCCTCTGGGGTTTTGGCCTCTATCCCCTTTGGTGCTTGTGTCTTTTGCCCTCCAGGCAGGCTCCGGGTTCAGCGCAGCAGTGCAGCTTTGACCATACCGTCCGTCTCACCCCGAGGATTTCCTTTTCGCAACGCATCCATCCCCTCAGAAAAGCATGTAGTATTTCCATGCTGTTTGCTCTAAGAGGATCAAACGATGCCATTTGCATGGGTATTTGGGCCGTTTGTGTCTTAAACGATGCCATTTGCATGGATGAACCGATGAACCAGTTCACTTCCTCCACACGCTGCCAGGCGGCTGCCCCTTCGAAGGTGCTGCGCGGATCCTCTTTGCACGACAGCCGGAACCGTGGAACACCCAGACGTTACCCGCTTGGCACCCGCAACATCGCTGTCGCCATGCGGTACACGAGAGCTTCCTATTACCAGCAGCTGCAGAGGCGATTACCATGGGGGGACCGGGTTGGATGGGGCAAGCAACAGATCTCTCTTGGTGAGCTCGTACTGGTAGCTTTGTCTTGGCTTGCTGCATCCAATCTCCCTGAAGCGCCCTCTTACTCATTGTTTCTCACGTGCTGCATATGGTCAGAGACTTGTGGTGTTGATTGCCGTTCCCACTGCCTTCCAATATTATCAAAGCCATTCAAAGCCTTCAAATTTCGACATATCCCATCCTCACATGAAGCAGAAAGCTCCTGTCTGTCCCTTCCTTCCACCCTGGTTTCAGGCATCCCAGTTGGATGGCGGTCCTCGCTCAGAGCTGAAGCGCTTCCGGCCCACCGAAGGCTACACACTGCCGAATTGGCCGACCTTTGTGCCTCGGGGGAACTGGCTGGACATTTGCTTCAACCCCGAAGCTTGGGCAAAGTCGGATGTGAAGCTTGGGCAAGGTGTCTTTTGGGCGAAGTTTCAGAATCTGAGGATGGATTCATATATGCCATGGAATCATATGGATCATGGTATGGCTCATATATGCCATAATGTCCGCCTCTCGCGCACAGGCGTTTATTTTTGGCGACGATTTTATACATAATTCCTCTAATGTTAAGGTTCCGAAGTCAACTCGCCTAGAGGGGACTTGCTAGAGTGAGTGGAACTTGGAACCGCACCAACCTTGAAATGCAGTCCGCATCTACCAGCAATATATATTATAGTATTATATAGTGTTTTTACCACAGGTGCGACTTTTTTGTCCTGGAACAGCCTTTCAGGGCAGAATGCAGGGTCGAAGCTGTGCAACAAATGTACGAGTGTTTCTGGTTTTAGTCATTTTGACCACGGGTTCGACATGTGATGTGCTGGGGTGCTGGGTTTAAAGGTGATTTGATGCTGTTGGGTTGTGGGTAAGAACCTACTGATATGGCCTTTGCCAATATTCTCATTCATTGATGTCTTTGTTTGGGCTTGAATCTCAATAGGACACCATCAAACCTACACTATGGGGACATGTGACATGAGCCCAACGAACATCGATGTGCACAAAAAATTGCGATCGGCCGTCTTTTTCCTTTGCCTCGGACATTGATGCATATGTGGCACACTTAGCCCCAAGGTGCTTTAGACATGTTTACCCGTTGGTTTCTCAGCCAGTCTGGAGAACAAGGGGTGCTCTGCCCTTGCCAATGCCATTGCTCGGCCCTTTGGATCTAAGGACATCAACAGTGATCCCAGCGGTTGGTTCAAGGTGGGCGAAGTGGCCGTCCTGGATGCCTCGTTGGCCTCTTCCTCCACGGTGCCGAGTCACAGCGCCTCGCCGCCCCCGAAGCAGGTGGGTCAAATGGGGCAGATCTCCATGTCCAGGCCGGGGCGGAGCTGGGTGTCACCATGTCACCAGCTCTCGACGTCGCGAAGCGAAACCACCGGAGGAGTGAATCCATCACTGGTGGTGGTTTGATGTGGCCGGGATGGGACCGGTGCCGATGGAGACACGAGCCCTGCGGGATGGCAAGGTGAGGCATTCTCAGCCCGAAGTGATCTCCGTTTTTCTACCTTTCATTACCATCATTCGGAGACTACTTCCCGACAGACCCGACACGAGAGGTCTTTGCTGCCCTACCGGAACCCTTCCAATGTGGTGGGCCTCAACGTGGGCGGTGGCATCCGCCTTGCAACCCTCGTCATCACCGAAGACAGCTCCACCAGTGCCTGGGCTTTTTTCGTGCGCCGCGCGGACACCGTCGAACGAGGGGAACGAGGACGGTGTGGTGAGTGGGAATACGACGGAACATCACAGGGTTCACCAGGGAGGTAAAGCAGGCGATACCGGTCGGTTTCTTCCGCAAAGTAGCAGACGAGCATGAGCTTTCTTGGAGCGGACCTGGGTTTGGCGAAGAGGAGCTTCTGCGATGTCTGAAGTTGGTTGCCTTTGCTGACAGGGTGAGGTGACTTTCGGATTTGGCAACCTTATGCGATTGGAAGATAGGAAGGATGTGTGTGCTGTGTGGCTTTTTCTCCAGAAAGTGAAGATTGACCGTCAAACGATGGATTGACATGCACATATTGCTCAGAGGCCCGAATCCGAACTCTGCTGCATTCAAGATCTTGGCCAAACCGTCATAAAAGGTTGGACAGAGTTGCATGATGTATTTTTTTTGTGGGACCTACTGGTTCTGAGCAAAGGCTTCCCTCTCAAACCCCAATTTGGGAGATTCTGTTGAAGACTTTTGGGACTCAACAATGAAGGAGATGACTCCGGAGCTAGAAGGTCTTGAGCTTCGAAGCGTTGAAGATATCAGGCAAATCAATGGGGACATCTGGCAAATTCTTGAGTTCAGAGCCCTCCGAAACACTTCTTTACTTACATACTTTTGACGGACAACATCTTACATAATCTACGCTTCCCATGGTATTATGGTTGACGAAAGAAATTCCGCAGGACCTTGAAATATAACTCATGCACCTGACACACCAGCAGCCACCCACCCCAATGTTGTTGGGTCATGGGTCATGCAGGCAAGTGGAGCAGGATTTTGGCAAATGGGACCTTTGCAGTTTTTGATGCCGGATGCAACCAAGGTTAAAGAGGGAGCGTGAGGATATGAGGTTCTCATCCTAAAGTGGTGGATTTCTTCTGTCGACAGTAGTGTCACATGAATTTTAGGGATGGTTCATCCACAGTATGATTCTCTCTCTCTCTCTAAGTATTGAACCAAAGAATTGACACTCCTGCTTGTCAGTCTTTACCCCCCTTGGCTTGTGAGTCGCCAAGGAGAAGCCTGCCAGAAGAGTCGCCCCACAGAGGTCAACGGGCTCACGCGTGCGGACGCGAGCGCCTATGGAGGCACCGTCCGCGGAGAGCGCGTGGTCTTCGACGGAGGGGAAGTGGGAAAGAGCATCTCCTTCCCCACCGTGGCGACGGTGGTGGTTTGCTACTGCCCCAACTTGGGCGCCTGAGATGGAGTGAGTTGGTGAGGAAGGGCAGATCGGATACAGGTGCAGGGTGAGGGTTCAATGATGTTCAAGATATACAGAGATGATGCCTTTGATGAAAAGGGGGGCGAAACTCTCATAACAATTATGTAAGAAGGGGTATTCAAAACACACAATGATGTCAGACTGATTGGTCGGGGTGTGCTGCACTCGCACCTGTGCAATTCCGTGCGGTTGTGGGCCTTCTTAATAAAGAGTCAAGTCCTTTAACAGCCACCCATCGTGTATCAGTGTATCGTGCCATTTTTAGCTCGCTGCCCTGGCCTGGCTTTCGGATTGAAAGTGGTTAGCAACTTTAGGCGAGATATGGCGAGATCAATATATGAAATATGCTATATAGTGGTGGACTGCAGTTCAAGCAAGGGTCCATAAACATGCAGCCCGGAAAAGGAGACATGACCTGAGGCACAAAGCAGTTTCTTCCCCATTTTGGCAGAGGCAGTCTATCACTTTGTATGTCCGAGTCCTGTCCGTTCGAGTCCTTTTGCTTTCTCGGTCCGTTGGTCACAATGTGCACCAAGGCGGCTTGGATGAGTTCGGCGAGCAAGTCTGCCTGGGAAGTCCCTACTGGGTGCCCGTAGGGGCGATCGTCATCGCAGGGCCGTTGCCAAATCAGTATTGGCTCCTGCCCACCATGAAGATCTTCCGCGCCTTCGGCTTGGAAGAGGAAACACTTCGGCTCTTTTCACGCTTCAGATCCAGAGCCCATTGGGAAAAGGACGCCACCACCGGAAGAAATGGGTTGCCAGGTGTCAGGCAGGGATCCGGACTGAACATGTACTCTCCACTCCAGCTGTTTATCTATGGCTGACGACACCTGCTGGTTGGGGCATCTCTCTCTCTCTCTCTCTGTTCAGGATCAAATCTTCTCTTAAAAGAGACACATGTGTGACTTGTGGCATTGCCGGAACAGTTGTGACTGGTGGCAACTTTATTCAACAATTTCCACTACCCGCTGTCAAGTTCCCACTGATTCCAGCATGTGAAACCATTCCAATACCTGCAAGAAAGGTACACTGATCTTACACCGATCCCTCTCCCATTGATAAACATAAAATAACACACAAGAGTCACAAGAGTCCCTCATCTTCACTCACATCAAACGCGCAGTTCGCACAACACCCGAGGATTTGAATACCTGGGTGTGAACCTGGAAGATGGCGACATGCTGCGCTTGGTCTTGGAATCCCAAAGCTGTTCCGCCTTTACCACTCCGGAGCGCATGTGCTTGCAGCCGAACGAGGATCCCATGAATGGGCACCCCTTGTGCGGTAGCACGCGGTTAACAGCGACGCTGGGATGGATGGGGTGGGAGAGTAATTCAAGCCATTGAATGCCTTCAATGTAGACTCTTGATGAATACACCTCCCCAAGTGGGATTGAACAAGCTCTTCATACATACATATATAATCATATATATATATATTATATTTCTCTCAGGGGTCATAAATCAAGAGTCTACATTAAGGCATGACAATAGCACCACCAAAAGGTTTGGAACTCTTAACACCTTCGTTTTGCGAGTGGAAGATCTGTGTCCGGCCTGGTACATCGAACGTGCAACAGGTCGTTCCTGAAGCCCGGCCTTGCTTCACGTGCTGAAACGGAGCCACCGATGTCTCCTTGGAGTATGTAAAACCACGGTTCTCTCGTTGCAGTATCTAAAACCACAGATCTCCTTGGAGTAGGTCAATCTGGAATATGTAGCCACCTATGGTGTCAATTAATTGATCGAAATCCTTTCGGGTCGCATAAGGAACTCCGGCCTCATGCGCACAACCACGCTAGCCTCTACTCGCATCGCTTGCGACGAGCTGAACGATCCTCAGCTGCAGTGGTCAGCTGAAGAGCTGCGGGGGGAGGGTACTCCCTGATAGGCTAGGAGAAATCTATGGATCTTTCTTAGTGGCCAAATGCGGCCAACAATGTTTCAAAGCTGGCACTTAGTTCATCCAGTGGCCAAGAAGCAGTTGATGGATTTTCCTTAGGGCCTCCCACCAAAATTTTGTGTTGGCAATTGCACACATAGGCAGACCTTCTTTTGAGACACACCCATATTGTGAGCTGTGACTTCTTCAACTTTGGACACATCATTGAGAAGGAAGGTCCGACATCTGCAGATCCAGTTGAGCTACCAATTGTACCACATCTGCAGATCCATGTTGCACAGTGTTCACTATTTCTCGACGGTTTGGTACAGGACGCCTTTTCTGAGGTCTATCCGGGCGGTACAAAAGACATAACATTGGTATCAGGATTGGGATCAACGACTTTTT